GGCACGGCGGTCAGTGCGACGAGTTGCGGACCGCAGGGTGCCGTGGACGGTTTCAACGATAGGTTTCAACAAGGCATCGGACAGCTGTACCGACCGTATGTCGATGTTGTCGAGGACTGCTGCTGGATCTGCTGTGTCGAGGCGTGCTGGGGGTATAGGGTCGGTGGGAAGTGGACATCGGGACAAACCGTCAGCGTCGAGATGGCGTTTACCTTGTTTGTAGACAACCGCGAAGGTGTATAGTGTTGAAGCTTTAATGACAACCGGCCAAGACGACCCATTGGATCTTTGAGGCTTGCTAGCCAGCAGTGGGCATGGTGGTCAGTCACAATGCGGAATGGTGAACCATACAGGTAGGGAAGGAACTTTGTAATTGCCCAGATACTTGCTGCTAAACATTCTTTTTCAGTCGTTAAGTTTGTTGAGAGCTAGTCGAAGTTGTACTAGCATATGCTATTACTCTTGCTCGTTCCGAATGTTCTGGGCCAAAACTGCTCCCAGACATGGACCGCTGGCGTCTGTTCTACTTCTGTATCTGCGCCTTCGACGAATTGTCAAAGGATAGGGACTGAGGTCAACGATGTTTTTAAGGACTTGAAAGAGTCCTGCTGCTCGTTGGTCCATTGAAAGCGCACTCCGTTCCTTAGTAAATTATTGAGAGGTTCCCCGGTGTCAGAGAAACCAGGAATAAATTTTCAAAAATAAGTGCATAATCCCAGGAAGACCCGGACATATTTCACCTTCAGTGGTACAGGAAATTCAGCAACAGCTCGAGGTTTATCGGGGTGTGGGCTGATGCCAGAAACACTGACGAGGTGACCCAGTACTTTGATTTCTGAAGCAGCAAACGTACATTTCTTGGAATTAAGTTGTAGACCGGCGGCTCGGAAACACTCCAGGAGCATACGCAGCCGGTGTAAGTGCTCGTTGAATTTCGGGGCTAAGACGATGACGTCGTCGAGGTAGCACAGACAATGTTCCATGTAAGGCCGCGAAGTATAGAGTCCATCATACGCTCAAAGGTGGCTGGGGCGTTACAAAGACTAAGTGGCGTCACGTTAAAGTGATACAGGCCATTTGAAGTAATGAATGCTGTTTTGGTCTTGTCGTCACTGGCGACAGGAATTCGCCAGTAACCTCTTCGGAGGTCCAAGGAAGAGAAATACGAAGACCCTTGGAGCGTATCGAGAGTGTCATTTATTCTGGGGATTGGATAAACATTTTTTGTAACTTTGTTTAGTTTCCGGTAATCAATGCAGAAAAGCCAAGAGCCGTCTTTCTTCTTAACAAGAACAACGGGAGAGGACCATGGACTGGAGATGGTTCGATTACTTTCTTTTGAAGCATATCATTTAAGTGTGTCTGAATTACTCGGCGTCTTGCTAGGGAAACTTTGTACGGTCGGATTCTAACGGGTGATGAGTCGCCAGTATCAATTAGGTGTTCTGCAGGATGAAGTTTGCGCCAGCTTTGCGGGGTTAATGTCAAAAAGGGCTTCGTAGTCTGCAAGAAAACGGGCTAATATATGTTCCTGGATCAGTGATAAGCGAGGGTCGATAATTTTTTCCACATGTTTGCTGAAATCAGGTGGTGTAGGGAGTGGGCCAGAAGTGGTGGGGAGGAGACTGGCAATTTGGTGATGCACAGTTGATTGCATTGTAGCGACGCGACTTCCGGAAACAACGATTCGGGACTGGGAAGAACAGTTTGTTACTCATAACTGAAGTTTTCCACTTGTGAGTGTAGGAAGCGAATAAATACGGTATGGTTACACCCTTGGTGACGAGCTGCGCACAGATAGGTTCAATGAGACCAGAAGTTGCTGTGGTGGGTAGGGTTGGTACAAGCCTGGCGACAGCGGCGGAGTACGGAGGCAGCAATATGTCATGGTCGGCTACCTGGGTGGCGAGCGAACCTTGAGCAGTAAACTCGGCAGCGTCAGAAGAGTTGAGATGCAATTCAGGGCTGGCACAGTCAAGGAATGCTTCTGTTGAAGAAATAAAATCCCATCCCAGGATGATGTCGGCGATGCAAGTGGGACGCACTGTGAACATAACAACGTAGCGGTTGTTACCGATTCGGATTGTAAGGGTGCAGTATCCGAGAAGCGGAACCAAATCGCCATTGCCCATGAGCATTAAGTGTCCTTGCAATGGTGTAAGTACTGCGTGCAGACGACGGTGGATACACTCAGGAATGAAAGAGTTTGAGGCTTCTGTGTCGACTAAGGCGATGAAGTAATGGTTTCTAATTTTGAGTACAATCGATGTTGTTCCTAAATGAGGAGAATTTGCGGATATCGGTGAGCGTGCAGCCTGACCTTCAATGTGGCCGCAGGCCGCTTTATCTAGTTTGACTGTTGAGAAAGTCCGGCAACGTTGGTGGTGAACGGTGACACAGAACGGCGTCGCGGAGGGTATGGCGATGATGGGCGGCGACGACGTGGTGGTGGGGAAGGTTGGAGGCTGTAAGATGAACGACGACTTACTGGAAATTGTTCATGATCGGCATGAGAAAATGTGTCGATGGGCGGACTGCGACGAATAGCATGGTCGTCATTATAGTCTGTGGAGTAGTTTATACGGTTAGTCGGCGAGTTGCGAGCCATGTTGTTAAGTCACCGGCTACAATATCGGAGGATGTGTCCTGGTGCGTGACAATAATAACACACAGGTCGCTGATCTGGTGTCCGCCAGATGTTTGTCTTTGGTTGTGGTTGTGTCCATGAAGGGGTTAGTGCGGCATATGTGACAGGCACAAATCAGATTTGAAACGGGTGCTGCTGGTGCGTACGGAGAGGCTGCTGGCGTGACGTGCCACAGAGCAGCCCGCAGTTCGCTTTGAATTGTGTCCCTTAGGCCATGTATGTCAGTATTTGTTTGGAGCTCGTCACTAGATGGTTGTAGCTGTGCGACGAAGGCACGCAGTTCCTCTTGTATCGCGGCGCGGATGAGCGAAGCAAGGTTTGTGTCGGGAGTTGTTCCCTGAGACACGTCTGGGAGACGTTGGAATGTCTTTTTGGAAATCCGTGCACTACCGAGCTCTTTGTATTGTCGGCATTCTGCGATCAAGCGCTCTATTGAAGCGGGTGCTTTCGGACCCACGACGGAGAAGAGCTCTCGCGAAATGCCCTTGAAGAGATGGCGAATTTTCTCGTCTTCGGCCATTTCAGCATCAACTCAGCGGCACAGACGAAAGACGTCCTCAATGTACGCTGTTGATGTTTCTGTCTGTCTTTGATAGAGGCGCAATCGTTGCCCGCGCGCTTGCTGCTTCAAGTGCTGGCGTTTGTCAAACACATCAGCGAATGCTGTTGTGATGGCTTCTTGATGGCTTCTTCGTGGTTGTCGAACCAGCGAAGATCTGTGTTTTTGAGAAAAAAGGCAACATTCGGCAAGCTTAAAGATGTCATCGCAGTGGTGGTAGTGGCTAACCCGTTCATAGTTCTTTAATCAATCGTCTACGCCGGCGTCTGGAGATCCGTCGAAAATCTGGGGGTAGCGCTGTCAATGTTTCACCACGGGCGTTGCCCGCTTCCTCTGGGATATTTACTTGCGCGGGTCGTCTGCTGCGTAGCTCCAGAATTGATAATGAGCGGTCCGACGAGAGGCGGTAGAACGATAAGACCTCCACGAACCTGTGAGGTGATGATGTGCAGGTTTAATGAGACGATTGGGGGATTGTAGATGATGGTCAGTGCCGTGGCGCAGCCAGGCGAAGTCAGTCCGAATTGAATCGCGCGGGCGCTCTCGGGCCGAACCCTGAGGGCGCCACCGTCGTCTTCTTTCCTAACTTTCTCATATATAATTATTATATATATAAACATATAAACTTGCGTATAAATGCAAAAATTCAAGTAATTACTTGTTACCCTCTTTATCGTAGTTTTTCGCTGTTCATCATTACCAAGCCTTCGGCTGTTCATGAACACATCAAATAAATGAATTAATGCAGTTCTGGTACTTCAATGTGCCGCGTAAGCAATGTTTACAATCTAAACGGAAGGCGAGTGCATATTTTGCCAGCTACTGAGATCGCAACAGCGGGCTAAAAATTATATAGCTGCGAATGAACGTGCTATATGCGTCTCGCATTTTTGTTAAGACTAGAGAGAAAAAAAAAAAGTTTATATTTTGTCTTGTCTTTTACGGAATTTACGTAAGTTTCTTCTTGCCACATATGCTACCATGTGTGGTTATGAATGTTATCAACGCTATGTAGAATAGAGGATATAAAAATTCCAGTTTCTTGTGAAAATATTCGTTTTTTTTTGTGTCAAACGTTTTTCATAACCTATGAAACCAAATGTAGGTTTCTAGGTCGTCTCATCAACAAACTGACGTGAAAAGAGAGCATATTTATATACTGTCTAAGGCATTTCAGTTTTCTTATTGTGGATAGGAAGAAGTTTCGTTGGAGAAATTATGTCTCAGAATAATCGTTGAATTCAATCATGACCATTGTTGGATTGTTATAAAAGCAAATATTTGAAGAAGAAGAAAAAAAGAAAACAACAACAACAACAACAAAAGTATGTGTTTGACGAAAAAATGATTACACCGTGGTTCTATCAAAATATCCATCCGTTCGTGATGTAAACCATCTCTCAGAAATGGTCGAAACGGCTATCATATTCCAACATCACTTCTAGAAAAAAAAAAAAACACACACACACACCAAAAAAACCTTCATTACGCGATTAGTTTTATCTTGATACCTCTTAGCAGTACCAAAAATGAAAAACTGGTTTCCAGAGCAAAACAATTGTTGGTTAAAAAAGAAGGTCCTATCTATTGTAATTACCTAAAAATTCCATGTCTTTTTTTTCTTTTCTTTTTTTAACGCAGTATGCTACAGATTTGTTACAAACTATTACAGCTGAGAGTCCTTCCAGATTCCAAAGTTTTCGCGATTGCGTGAGCGTTATGATTGGCTCAATTTATAAATTTCTTGCCTCATAAAAGCGTTCAAATCGTGTTCCAAGAAAGAAATCTATTTACCCGTGAATACGTTGAACTGTGGCGCGTCCCATTGGGTAGCCCTCGAAAAACCCAGGTATTGCAACGTTCAGGCAAATCTGCGAACAAAAAAAAAACAAGAAAGACACTGTTAAAACCAACAAAAATACCTGCACAAAACGCTACACTGTTAGTGTGGACAAAACACCACCGGGCACCAATCAAGGCGTCAAAATTTGGTGCCCCTCAATTCCATTTTGAAGTGATTAATTCATTGATTGATAAAAGGATTGATTGATTGATTGATTGATTGATTATTTTAGGGCCTGTCAACAGCCAAAGGCCTATAAGTAAAAGATGAAGACAAGTAAAATGCGAAAAAGCGCCGATGACGTGTCGCGCTGAATATGTCGTGCAGTGGACGCCTTGAAAACAACTTGATAAAATGTACGAGGATCCGATGGCACATTAGCTGTTTGAACGGCCTTTGATGTTACCGTATTTTCCGAGCTATAGTCTGCCCCCGGTGTATAGACCGCATGGGCAAATTTGGGGTCAAAAATAAAAGTATTTGCTTAGATAGGCCGCACTCGGTGCATGATCCGCACCCCGTGCATAGTCCTCAGTTAGTGCCTGGTCCGAACGTAAGAAGTATCATACACAGCACACCTTGACAAATGCCTAATGTATTAGCTCACAAAGAAGCTTGTATCATACATAAATCAACATTAATATAGTCCGTTACACATAAAATCCTTTACAACTTATCACAATGAAAGATCTAGAAAAAACAAATCCTTGTATATCCGCACATGTAAATAATCTAAATCTGGCAAAATATAAACTTTTAACCATGTAGAGTTTGTGGACTATAGTCCGGGAAATACGGTATTTCATTTCACTCCACCTAGGTTAGCACATAAGAAGAAAACTTTTTTTCTTAGTCTTTTTATACTTAGTGTAACACATCCTTCCATATTTTGTTCTAGAAAATGCACAATTTACTTACACTTAGGTACTAAATTCACTGCAATTTATATTTAAAAAAAAAACAGTTTATGAAATATTTTGTAGGGACTTCGTAGGGACAATGCGCCATCGATGCCCAAGCTGTAGGACACAATATGCATTAGCCTTGCTGACACACCGATGCAGCTAAAAAAAGAAAGAAAAACTTTGGCACTGATAAATCAGTCAGAATTTCTCAGTGTCACTCTTTCTCCCTCACATATACACACGCACGGGCACGCGCACACACGCACGCGCATTCACTCAAATAAACTCGCTAACCCATACGCGCAACATAATGTAGAGAGTCTAAATCAGGGGTCTCAAACACGCGGCCCGCAAGCAAACGGCTACGAGTCCCAGTCCCAATGGTTCGAGCTCTAGAAATGGCATGCGCCATCGTGATTTCATCCCGCCGATTCATTTTCGCTCGAAAAGCAGCCACGCTCTTTTAACGTATTCACATAGTTTATACTTATTTGTGTTCATTTCCCTTTGTCCCGCTCTATATTTTGCCTCCCAGCTTTTTGCAATGTACAATAATGCCGCTTATATGCTGCAAGCGCAAGCTATTCGCTGAAGGATGCATTTCGGCTGCGCGAATTTCCGGCAGGAAAAACTGGCAAAGATAAAGCTATGAGCTCGAAATTCTCGCCTTCAAAAATACATAACCATTAAAAGACAAGTATTTGTTCGACTATTGTAGTAAAAATCGTCAGAAGAACAAGAACTGCCATATCAACTGATTGTTTTTAGAGACATGTGGAGCTTGGTCAGTTAACGGGTTAATTGAGCAATGGGAACGACAGTGCACTTGTTCTATTAATTTGCCAGCACGCTGGCAGAGCGGTGGATTTTTATTTTTATCATATCAGGTCAAGGCCCAAAGTAGTCTTATAAGCAAATAAAATCTAAAGATGTCACTGGCAAGACTTTGTCTACAAAAGCATAAAGCACGAGGTCTACACGCCCCCCCCTCCCCCCCCCCCCCCCCCCGCGTCTTACGTTGGCTTTCGTTATTTCAGGTGTTGGATATTTGGCCCCCACACTCAAATGAGTTTGAGACCACTGGTCTAAATGAACGCACGCAAATAAACCGAACTGGAAATGTACTGACACAGGCATATAAACACAACCATACATACCGGGTAATATTTTTTATTCGAAACATTTTTTTAAAGGCGTCTTTACTATTACATGAATGCCGTCTTCACTATATGTTTCTTGAGCTCGGCGAACACTCGAAGGGCGAACAACCATCACAAACTGGTGAGAAATTAGTAAAACATTTCTTCATTAACTTATTTCATTAGGGCAAATAGACATATGGTTCCAATTAGAAACTTGATGCGCGCCATCAAAAACCACTAAATCAAAAAATACTTTGAGCGCGTGGGAAGCATAGTAGTGCGCAAAAAGTATTACACGTGCAACAGGTACAAGGCCGGGGCTATGATAAGAGACAGAAAAATTGCACGGGCGCCTTATCGCACCGGTAGCCTTGCGAGTGGTAAATGTAGCGCACTACTGCGGTTCTCGCGCGCTCGAAGATTTCTGAAATAAATTTTTAGTGGTTTTCGATGACGCTCAGCATGTATCTAGTTGGAAATATATAGTATGTCTGTTTACACTAATTAAAAAGGTAATTCAGAAATTTTACTTAATTACTCACCAGACTGCGACGGTTTTTCGTCCCTGAAACGTCCGCCAAGCTCAAGAAACATATAGTGAGGATGGCAATCACGCAGCAGCAAAGACGCCTTTCTTTTTTTGTTAATTTGTTTCAAATGAAATATATATATATATATATATATCACCCGGTGTATTCGCATAGGCAGAGAACATACACGCGTGAAGGCGGGTACTTGCACCGTCGTACACATACTGTGGGATGACGTAGGACTGTATAAGTTAAACAGTTTCTTTGAACAGTTTCAGTCTTTCGTTACTTTCTTCACCGACACCACTCCGCTTCCTCTCTTCGAAAGGCAAAAGTGAGTGTGGACATCTTGAACATCAATACAGTGTGGTCAAACGCAGGGTTAAGAATCTCAGACAGCTCAAGGAACGCTTATGAAAGGCAGACAGCTTAAGAATTTTCTCTTTGCTTCGGGATTCGTTTGTCAAAGTTTTTTTATCGATTGCGGTCGTCATTGGCTACGGGTTAATAATAAGATGCCCTGCGTTTCTTAAATTGTCAGTGTACGTGATGTGATAATTTAGATTCTTGTCGCGATCTTACGTTTGAGCAGGTTCCAATAACCCCCGGAAGAACAAGAAACACAACGATCGGACGGTTCTTATTTCAGCCTACGTCGACGACACACCTCTATTTTAAAGCTCTAAAGCGCAGTTATACGGGCTTTAGAGAAGAGCGACGTTGACAGAAACCGGATATCGGCAGGGTACGTAACCTTACGGGAACAACAAGGCACAGCCGTGCGACCACGAAAGTAACTTGGGGAGTCGCCGAGACAACACGAACACACCACCACGGCAAAAGAAAGCAACGCAATATCGATTATCGACATAAGAAAGGAAAAGCGCATCGACCGAATCGGCGCTTGAAACCATGCAAGGGTCCCTCTGTTTTTATCGGCCTCGCGATTCGTTAACAAGCGTTCGATGGTGAGTGGAGGCCGATTCTTATTGGTTTGTCTTTTAAGACCCCCCCCCCCCCTTCCTTCCTTCCTTCCTTACTTCCCCCCCCCCCCCCCTCTCCAGGACAGCGGTAGGAACGTGGAGCAGGTCGCCGCTGACATCGCCAGACGACGATCGAATTCACGAAGACGTGGGTGGAGCTCTTGAGCCCGTGGAGACGTCTTAGTTATCTGCCCATCCGTTATGTTCGAAATTGCACAGTGCATGAGGGACAGGGTGGGCCCGAACACGACGGACATGTCTATCTGTGTTTTGCTAATAGGGTGCCAGACAGCAAAATGTACCTCTTGCGTAAGTGCCGTACAAACTCAAATTTCGGAAGGCTTTATTTGCCTTAATAGAGTTGGCGTTGATGACAATTTTTCACGAAAACGAACAATATTGGTCCTCACTTTTTCTTCATTTATAATAAAAGGTTTTACTGGCAGCACTGAAAAGGGGATAACAGATGCTGTAATTTTGACATTTCAACTTTTTCTACACGATTGACAAGGCTTTTGACGGTGTGAAATAGATGGTGGAGAAGTTCAGTCTAGCGGAGCGAAAACAAACAAATGCGACATATTGACTTTGTTCGATTTACCATGCAACTCCTGCATCGGAGCAGAAAAGTGAAGGGCAGTGTACTTCTCGTATCTGTATTTATTTATTTATTTTTTTATTTATTTATTTATTTATTTATTTATTTATTTACTCTCAAGACCGAAGCATTACAAAAAAAAGAAATAGTGCAGAAAAAAATGAAAAAACGTCAATAAAAACAAAACAGCAGGGTTGAAAATTATGTTTGCAAATGGCAGACTTGAAGCGGACGGTGTCGGTGATCAAGGCGATGGAGGCGGGTAGGCGGTTCTAGTCGGCGAAAGTTTTGTGAATGAAGGAGTGCAAATGCAAATTAGTGCGGCTGCTTGGCACGCCAACTTCGTACGATTACGAGACGGAATGTCCAACGAGTCTGAATGTCCAACGAGACGGAAGATCCAATAATGGATATTCAGGCACGTTGGACATTCAGGCTCGTTGGACATTTCGTCTCGGTTGGATCTTTCGTCTCGACGGACATTCAGGCTCGTTGGACATTCCGTCTCGGTTGGATCTTTCGTCTCGATGGAGATTCAGGCTCGTTGTATATTCCGTCTCGGTTGGATCTTTCGTCTCGTTGGACATTCAGGCACGTTGGACATTCCGTCTCGCCTGTCACGTGCTAGAATAGTGCTAGAATAATTTGATTTCTTAAATGGTCAGACTTGTGTGTATATTTAGTCCGCATTCCTGCAGGCATTGCCGTAGTTTCATCATACTAGAATGTCGTGCCACAAAAGCCGACGTTAGCAGACACAAATATTATAATTTCATCTATAGGAAGGCTTGATGGTTACTTAGCTGAGTACCGATGCGCAGTTATGTACCAATTGGTTAAAGGTGTCCATTGTACGACGCCAAA